TTTCAAACAGGGCAGACATGGACAATGGAGTCGAGATTTAGATTCCAAGCGGGGCAGACATGTGATAAAGAGTCGAGATTTAGATTCCAAGCGGGGCAGACATGTGATAAGGAGTCGAGATTTAGATTCCAAGCGGGGCAGACATGTGATAAGAGTCGACATTTAAGTTCCAAACGGGACAGACATGTGACAATTGAGTCAAAGATTTGAAACGAAGTCGAGATTTGAGTTCCAAACGGGGCAGAGATGTGAGAATGGAGTCAAAGATTTGAAACGAAGTCGACATTTAAGTTCCAAGCAGGGCAGACGTGCTACAAGGTAGAGTGGAAGAAAAGATTCGAAAAGGAGTCGAGTTTTAGATTCCAAGCGGGGCAAACATGTGATAAGAGTCGGCATTTAAGTTCCAAGCGGGGCAGACATGTGGGAATGGAGTAAAAGATTTGAGAGGAAGTGATGAAGAACTTCTCGAAGAAAAAAGTCGACAAATTTTGTTAATTAGAGGAACAATTACCCTCTGTAATAAGACAGGTTTAGAAAAGGGTAACTACTAAATATTTAAAGAAGGATGATATAGGATGTCCCCGTAGTCGGTTTATTTCTTCCACTAAGTTCCTGTTCCAATCGTTTTGTCCTGGAGTGTAGAACTAGTTCCTGATGGTTGCTGCCTTCCAGTTTTGAAAGTTTTGTCCGAGTAGCTTCCCCAGAGATGCAAAGTTTCAAAGTGTTTGTATAAAAAAAAACATTAAGGTAACAATTCAATATATTAATTTTTCAAAGTAAAGACAGATAGTTTTTGGCTAAAGTAATAATTGCTTTCATTCTTTGTCATCAAAATTAAATGTGATACCTGACAGCAAGCTTAATTTGTTTTTTTTTGTTATGAAAATTTTAATTTGTTTATTATGTAGAAACGATATTTCATATATAAGGTTAAATTTATATGTTTTCATTAAGAAGGATCCTTAATTTTTGATAATCTAATTGGCCATAATATAGTAAACAAAGAACATGTAAGTTTTTGTTATTTGTATTATGTTATACGATATGTTTCTTTTATAATATGTATTTTTGATCTGTTTTGTTTGAGACAAGAATAAACGTTCAATTTGTTTCTCTGATCTATTTTGAGTTTTATTTGAAAAAGATATTTTTTTTTCTATATTTTTGATGTTATACAATTATTTCCCTAGTTACAACTAGTGGTTGTAATAGGTATAATTGGGCACCTCAAGTGGCGCCCTATATTAAATTTCTTGAGGTGTTTCCGTTAATTTTCATTCTGTTTGTCCCAAGAGATTTGTATAAGTACCCCTTTATTTCTTTTTTTTGTAGTTGCCCAATCCAACCCCCAATATCTTCAACTTATCCACGACCCAGCTCTCCAACAACCAACTGAGTGTCCGTATGCACTTGTTTCGATTATTTTGTTTGCCCAATCTTGTCCCCCATATTCTTACCCTGTGGTAAGCAAAATAGTCGTTACAGTATAGGTGGTCCTGTTTCCGTAGGTATTGGGGGCTGGTTCTCTCTCTCATCAAAAAATAAATTTCTTATGTAATTTTTCCAGGTATCATTGATACTCTCTTTGTCCACGATTATCTCTCCATTGTCATTAACAAGTTTACTTACTCTTCTGTTTTTACATTTACCTGTAATTTCTCTTACCTTCTTATGCACGTTGAAGTCGTCGTACCTATTTACTTTGGAGAATTTCGATTTCTTGGCATTTTTTCTCCAGTTCTTTCTGTTTGGCTTCTCTGATCTTTCTCTGTATCTCTCGCTGTAATGTTTTATACATGGAGTTATCGTTCTTGTTATTCCTTCTTTCTTCCATTAGTTGCAGAATCTCTGTTGTCATCCATGTCTTATTCTTACCTTCTTCGTTCTTCATAAAATTGTCTTTAATGTCGTCTATTGTTTTCTTAAGGGATTCTATCTTATCTTCTGTACTTTCCGTTGTATTATCGATTTCTTTAAATTTTCTATTTAATGTTTTGCTGACTATTTCTTTTACTTCGCTACATTTCAGTTTTCTTATGTCATGTTTTTTTTTACAGTTTTTCCGCGTATTTTCTTTAACTTAGTTCTATACACGCCCATTCTTATACTAATGTTCTTAAACTTAAAAATCACGTTCGCATTTATACCACTTGAATCCAAATGTCTAAAAAACACAGCAAGTGGCCATCTTCTTGTTATTCTTGAAGTAAAGTAAGAGTACACATCTGTTCGACCCCATCTACTCTTCCTTTTGTGCCATTATAATCCAAATTTGCTAATGTTTTTTAGTGTCTTCGTCGATTAAATTTTTGCTACCCATGATAGAATGAGAATCACGCTTTGTTTTTCTTCGGAACTGTTGATATTGTGCACATTTCATCTTGGAAACCAAAATATTTCTTTTGGAAATTTGGACTAGGAAATTTCATCTTGGATTGCTTTTATTAGTTGGTTCTTATTCGGTAAAAATCAGGAAGTAGTTTATTTTTATTCTTCTTCGGGGTACCAATCTTTGTTTGGTAAATAGTCTGCTAAGGGATAGCTGGTGTATTTCTTTTTATAGTAAGATTTCTTTTTGTATTTTCTATAGGTGTAACTAAGGTAAATGTACTATCATAGTAGTTGACATTATGAGAAGAAAAAAAAACCATTATTTAGCCTCAAACCGATGTTGTTGAACTTAACTAAAAAATATATGTACATTTAGGTAATCTAATCCTTCCTGAATATTTAAGAAATAAATTTTTGAACAAATGTGTTTTCTAAATAGTTTTTATAAAATTTACATTGTTGCAAAAGTGTCAGTAGTTGACACAACAAAATGAAAAAAATAGTAATTGACACATCCAAGGTTGACACTCAAATATGTTTTGATAACTTTATTAAGAATATGTAATTATAAGAGAACTTTAATGTTATGTAATTATAGTATATTAAAATATTTAAATTCAGAAATTTAGCCATCTATATCCACTGAATCTGGAAACTGATACTTTATTCTTTCTCCTGAAATAAGTATCTGAGGTTGGGGCATTCTTTTTAGGATTTGATGAAATGTTACTACGCTCATATCTTTATCATTAATTCGAAATGAAGTTTTACTGTCATGTCATTACAATAATTCATACCCACAACTTCTGCCTCACAATTATTAAATTTTTTTGTATTACACATACAAATTAATATTCTTTTTTCTTTCCAGGGAATTTTGCATTTTATTACAAAAAAATTCCGCAATTGGATTTGGCTATATTAAGTAAATATAGCCAAAATTTAACTATACTTCATCAAATAAAATGGTACATGTTTTTTTTTTATTTGAATTTAATTTTATGTTTTCTAGTTGTCAGAAACGAAAATGCCAGTCAGCCTCTAAAAATCATACGAACAAGCTAAATTGCGCCAGATATTGAGATCCCAAAAAAGATCAAAAAAGTTTACCACTTTTACCTTTGGGATTCCCCCTAAGGGGGTAAAAACGCACAAAATTCGATTTACCAAGAATCCGTACGCCGTAGAAAAAAATGTTTGAAATAAAAAATGTAACTGAGATAATTTTATACAAAAATATTTGTTAGCACTCTCCGTGTAGAATGAACTTTTCTCTCAGAAACAACGCTTGAAGAGACTGTCGATTTTGAATGTCAGTTATGTGCACGAAATCAATGTTCAATAAAATATATATCAGCTCGATGGTAAAAATTCGACATCTTTTGATTTAAGTATCCTATCGACAAAAATCAAGATGCGTTTTAAAGAGTGCAACTTTCGTTTTTATAAAGGTGGTAAATAAATAAACGTGACGCGACCTTCGCCATTTTTTACGATTCTCGTGAAATCAATAAAACGAATCACTTTTATTGACAAGTCATAGTAAAATTTCTATTTCTAGAGATCTATCTTTAAAACCTATAACATGAAATTTCAATTTTGAGTTGTGGCAACAAAGATGATGCATACGCAGAATTTAATGAGATTTCTAGAGATTGCTCGTCACGGAAAACGCTTCCAAGAAGATGGTTTTGGGTGAGGTTTATAACAGAAGTTCAGTTCTTTTGAAAAACGTACTAGTTTGATTAAAACTAAACATTTAGATTGTTTTTAAGTAAAAATTTTATTGAACATTGATTTCGCGCACGTAACTGACATTCAAAATCGACAGTCGCTTCAAGCGTTGTTTCTTAGAGAACGGTTCATTCTACAAAAAAGGTGCTAACAAGCATTTTCGTTTAAAATTATCTTAGCTACATTTTTAAATTGTTTTTATCCCCTGCGCGGGGGGTTTTAGGGGGCAAGGAGCATGTATTCAGCTTGTTCATATGATTTTTAGGGGTCAACTTTCTGACGACTGGACTATGAAGTTCATATAATAATTTCACATGCTTTGTTATACAACCAGTGATATATTAATTGTTTAGTGAAAGTTTGGCTGAATTTGTAAAAGTTTAGGATTCGCCAAAATTAAGACTCTCAAAAACACTCTCTCCAAAATTTGATTTGTCATTATTGTGAAATCAATAACTAATATTATGTTTTAAATTTGTTGTGCGTTTTTTGTTGGATTTTATAAAGATAATGCTATTTAATGTAGTTTCTTTATTCTTCTTTCCTTTTTATACTGTTTATTGTCCTCCATTTCCACTCAGCTTTCTATTCATGTTTTTGTCTACTTACTATTTCTATCTTTTCTCTATTACCAATTAACTTTAAATCGATTTTTGACTATTATAGTTAGCTAATTACACATACGACATACATTGTTTCTCTATAAATATCAAACGATCACAGCTCATTTCAAAGGTTTGTTAATAAACTAACCAATTATTTTTCATTTTCAGTCTAAAACAACAAGTTGTAGACTGTCTTGATAAATAAACCCTAGTCTATACAGGTGAGCTATTTTAACTTTGAAAGTTTATTGTTGAAAGAAATTGATTTTGAACTCTATTTTCTATTTAACATTTTAAGATATACTTTACTGGAAGGAATAAAACCACACATTGTACTATACAAATTTATTGGATTACCAACAAAGTATACAGGGAAATCATATTTGAATACTTTAATGTAAATTTATAATAAATTACATCAAATCAAAATTCACAAGAAACAATTATTTACAGGGAAGTATTTTTTTTATAAATTGATCTTAATTTTCTAATTAGATTTAAACTATTTATTTTCTATACCACATTTGCAAAGTATTCATCCTTTTAACTTTCTTTTGTAACTGTAGAATTCCATACAAAAGGGCTTCAGCTGTAGGCGGACATCCTGGTACATATATATCCACAGGAATAATTCTATCACAACCCCTAAATAAAAAAGTATTAGTTATTAAATCAATATGAATTCAATAAATTATTTTATATAAACGGTGTTTCATTTAACATATAAAGATACACGGAATAATTTTCCAAAAAGACCATAACCTAGTATTTTTATGATCTGTTTTATATAGATTTATATATTAAGGTCGATTCAGACACATCAGTCAAGTCTCGTCACAGTGATTGCGCCAAACCGAACAATCCGTCATACAAAATATTCTTTAATACAAATATGTTGCCGGCATTCACACTCATCAGTTGACAAACAGTTTCCCAGCTGTCAGATAGTTGATAGTTCTGTGACCAAATAGGACCAGTTCGGCGCCGAGACTATGACGGGGCTGATGTTTCTAAATTGACCTTTACATGTCACTATAAATATGTGAATTTTTGATTGTTCAAAACAGTTCTAGTAGTGTTCTGTCAGCTCCTTCATGTGTGCTGCTTTATCTCTCACAGCTTCAACAAAATGAAATTGTAGTCCTCTTAATGAAGTTTTTACATAACTCAAGATCCAAAGAGTATGGCATATGTTGAACAAATGCTATCTCTATTATAGATAGTTTAAAGGGCTCATAAATCTTTCCAACCTACAACCTGAAAGATGTCTTGTGCATACTCTCCATCTATGTGGCTTAAGGATAGGTTTCAGAACCCTCTGGCAAGCCTCTTTTGTGTTGAGAAAGTGCATCAACAATTACTTGAATAATTTTCTCTTTGCACCACTCCTGTTTGTTCCCTGGACCTTTTGTAGTTCCTTACTGAACTTCATTGTGGAATTACTGACTACTTTTTAGCAGTTCCTCTTCATCTATGGAAGTATGGTCTGTATCAGGATCCAATTTCATATCTTCCGGATTATTGAGGCTACTTTGCTTACTTGTTATTCAATTCCTGTCCCACAAGAAGCTAGAGAATGACTAGTGACTCCTGACAGAGACCTGCTTGGTGGGAAAAGGCTAATGAAAATTGGTTGACCGTACCTTAAAAATATATGAATGATGTTTGAAACAGAATTGAAAAAAGATTAAACTTTTACTTTAAACACCTTGAAAACTCAATCTTTGAGATTGTTTCTAGTTCTAGAAACATTATTCCAGTAATCATTTCCTAAATGTAATTGATTATTAGTAAACCATTGATTATATTGTTATGTTATATAGAGATTTCCCAATTTTACTACTTGTATATTATTTGTTTGATACTTATGGCAATTATAAAATAAACAGTCTGGCTGTGGGCCATACTCTGATTGTTCAACACTAGGATATTTTATTGTCAAATTTATGATGGTTATTAGAGGAAAATACCTATTTAAAATAATAAACACACCTTACAACTGAGTATGAATAATGGTAATATCCACCACCATTGGCACAGCTTCCCATGGAAATTACCCATCTTGGGTCAGGCATCTGGTCATATACCTTTCTCAAAGCTGGTGCCATTTTGTTTGTCAAAGTTCCAGCTACAATTATCACATCAGCTTGACGTGGAGAGGCTCTGAATACTACACCATACCTTGAATGAAAAGGAAATAGAGGTTTAAACTGGAAATATTTGTATCTATCTTATAAAAATCCTCTTTAAAAAATATGTATTATTGCTCCATTGCTGATATTCTGTGCATTTTCCTATTGCACCACATTTAAAGAGTTTAGTATTGATTGCAGTTTACTACTTTAGTACTTTGTGGAGATATTAGTTCCTGACAAAACTAGAAAATGAATAAATATCAAGTGTAGCTCAATCCTTACATATTCTAATTATATATAAATTTTTACCTTACCTGTCCATATCATATCTAGGAGCAGCCATATGCATCATCTCAACAGCACAACATGCAAGACCAAAGGTGAGAGGCCACATGGAACCCTTCCTTCCCCAATTTAAAAGATCATCCAAACGGGCAAACGCATATTCTCCTAAATTGTTCTTGTCTGGTTTGAATGGAGAATAGGGTCTGTCAGCTGGAACAGGTTGTGTAGATTGACCTCTTTTTTGTAGCTGCACAACGCCAAAACTACCGGTTAGATTCCGTAATATATTTGAATTCGTAAGGGCATCTTTGCAAGGTACCAAAGCACTGCGTAGCATCTACAAAATAAAAGTACTATTTATCAAATCTATTTTTAGGTTATACCTTTATTATAAATGTTTTGTTTGGCATTTGTATATGTATATATTATAACATCAAGTATATATCTTGCGTTTTTACCTTTGTTATTATTTGTTACCAAGAAACAAGTAAAATTGGTAGTTTTAAACGGCTTTGTGAATATTTACGTAATTCTATTTTAACATTTTATTCAACTGATAGATGACACTCTTCTTTTCTTTTATCTTGACTTGACTTGACATACATATGAATTTTACTTAAAATCAAACATGTAACGAAAATTTATATGAACTTGCCTTTTCCCAGCAGAAGATTATTCAACTAATTAAAGGTTATAATTTCAAATTTTTAAAATGTACATAAACAAATAATTTAGCTATGAATTTGCCAAGATATGAATTTTGTGAGGAAAATAAATCTCTTTTACAAGCTTTTATAGAAAAAGCTCACCAGTGCAAATTCAATATGCATTGCGATCATAAAGAATATAACAGATTATCCAAAATTCTTCCTTTGGTAAGATATTTCTAGATTTTATTTATTGAATAAAGAATAATTTGATTCATAATCAATTTTTTTAGAATTCCATTTTAGAAAAATATGGCGAAGCTAAGGAAGTTATTACTATAAGTGATAGTGACGAAGATTGCATAAATGATAATGAGATAACTAGTTTACATAAGACAATAAATGAAATTTTGAGACCATTGAATGAGACTGTTGCAGATGATATAACTTACGCAATAAAAGAAATTTTGGAAACTGAAAAACGTCTAAATACATCTGTGATATCAGATCTACATAGCTCAAAGCTAAACCTGGACAATATATTTCAACAACTTTTTAAGGAATTAAGTTATGAATCAATCATAGATTTTGGTGAATCACTAAGATCCAATGTTATTACCAATCATAACATTATTGTAGTATATGTTAAATATTTATTATTACCACAAGTAAGATACATTTTAATTTTTGCTTCAGTGTATACCTACTGGATAGAATGAAGTTTTTTAAGATAAAAAGATATAGAAAATACCAATGAACTTGAAAGTTATCCTATTTGTCATGAATAAAATATAATCAGTAGAATATACATGCCATAATTGTTCTTTTATCAGGCCATATTGTTAGTTATGTTGAATTTTTTATTGAACATTCTTTCATTTGAGTCTGATTTAGAGTAAAGAGGCATGTAAATGACCTGTTAGTTTTGTAGTAATTTTTAACTTCTGAGCACCAACACAATAAATTTTTTCCATAAGTGTTTCTGATTGAGCTCTATAGTACCTCTTGACCTCTTTTATATTTTTACTACATTAAATTATTTTGTAGCTAGAATTAGAATATTCAGATAGCTCCCAAGACAATCTAAATGAATTCTGCAATAAATATCCAGATATTGTATCAGAGAGACTTTCTGATCATTTGCTCATTTGTGATGATAAATATTCTAGAGTTATACTACAGTTTGTGGATGGCCTTTCAGAACAATTTAAGGTGAAACTGTTTAAGTAAGTAGATTCAGATGTACTTATACTCTGTTCACAGTGTAGTGTTGGGTCGTCACCTGGCTAGCCCAACTGATTTTTCATGTTGCATTTCAAAAAAATAAAAATTGTACTTTTTCATTCTTTATTGCAACATTGCAATAGTGACTTGGGTCAGTTCGAAATTTTTTAGTTGTTTATAGATTATTATAATTTGGTTCTATGTGCCAATAGAAAGTTTTTAATTAAAATTAATGAATATACACTAAAGCTGGATTTATAGTTTGACAGACTGTAGACATAGATGCTCTGGAGATGTAACAAACAGACTGTAAATATTATTTCAATTTATAAATTGACAGAGTGGAATTTTTGCACATGAGTGGAAACAATGGCTAAAGTTGGTGATCATGATACTATGATATCCTTTTATAAATTATTAACTTCAATTGTAACAAATAATCAACAAAATCAAAATTGGAATATGTTGATAAACAAGTTTACAAAATGGAGGGCAGGCCAGACAGTTCACTTTGGTTGACAGCACAAAATTCTTCCTTTTGATGGGCCAGACGCAAGTAACGCACTGTAAGATGAAAGTTGGTCAACTCTTTTGTTTCACTTATGTTCTGTCATGTGTTTATGTTCGTTTATAAATAAGAGTACACAAAATTCTATGTTGATCTTTTCCAGTGCGTCTATGTTTACAGTCTGTCAAACTATAAATCCAACTTTACATTACTCAGCATTATTCCTCTTTTTTCAATTAACACTTTCGCTGTGTAACTTTTTTTCGTAACTTTCATCTGTGGGAATAAATGTTTGACAGCATGTGCAATACACTAAGAGATAACATCAAATGGTGTCTTATGCACAGATACTGAACCAGAAGGTAGCCAAATGGCGGCTTCCGCAGCGAAACTGTTAAAGAAGACTGCAACAGTTTCGAGAAGTTTATTTCAGCTATTAATAAGGTGCGATACAGTATTTTTGGGTTATATGTTTTCAACAATGACTGTCAAAATATTCCTAAGCTGAATAAACTGCATATACCACATTGTTCTAGTCGTTTTTTTACTTATGCTATTGTATTTTTAGTGGGTATCTTCCTATATAATTTTTATATATTGATAATGGCTCTGCTTGTTATTATACCAGATTTTCTTATAGCTTTTTATATATTTTTATTTATATTTCTATAAGAGTCTTTATGTTCTGGTCTTGACACTTGACTTTTTAGAGCATTGCTTTGACTAATTTTATTAAGTTTGCTGGTATACAAAAAATAGACTGTTAATGTGATGATGGTTATGGAAGGTTTCTGGAAGGGAGCAAACATGACTGTAATTGATTTTAATAATATGCCTAAGTGACCCATGGTTCTCATCTGTTCCTCAGAAAGAGACAGATGAAGTAATTATCAAGGCATGTCTAAGGAACATCACAACCTTAATTCACTTTTTGATCTCTTTCCAATTGCATGTCTTCCCGCTGAGGTTTGCACATGTTTTTACTAAACTATCACATCTACTACAGTCTCTACTTTTCAGATTTACATTTGATTTTGTTATTTTTTAGGAATCTAGTAATAAATTGCAAACATCTCGAAGACAATCATATAACTCTATTTGATACTTTACAAGGAGAACAAGTTGATAATGACACACTAAATAAATTGGTAGAAATAATGTCAAAATCTGCTGATAAACATAGTACAAATAAAACTTTTGGAAAATTTTTATTGAAGATCATTCAGCTAGTAGGAAAAAACATTTCAACATTTGAGAAACCTCTAAACCACATTATCGGAACACACCGATCGATTTGGAAAGGAAAAATACAAAAGACTTATGATGAATTGTTACAAGACAGTTTCTTGATGTCACAATCTTTGAGATATTAAATATTTGAAAATAAAAACAAGTGTGTGTGTGTGTGTGTGTGTGTGTGTGTGTGTGTGTGTGTGTGTGTATTTTTTAATCTGAATTTTCTTGGCATATATTTAGGGTTAAGGAATATAGCAAATTTACCTTCGCCTTCATTTTTCAATAAAGATTTCATTACAGGAACCAATGGTAGGAAACCTTAATAGTTTACATAAAGTAAACGTTTATGTAAAGTAAAGTAAAAAAACGAATTTTACATAAAAACTGTGATACAAAATATTTAATTATAGACCAGTTGTCAGAGATATGACCTGTAAAAATGATACGAACAAGCTGAATTTTGCTGAGAATGTCATTTTTGAGACTCTAAAAGACGCAAAAAAAGTTACCACCCCTGCTCCCGGTTTCCTTTTAAAACGCCACTAGTAGTTCAATTAAACCGTAGCTGCACTAACTACTTAGAAACAGACTTTCAAAAACAACTAAAAATATCTACTGTTTTCATTGATTTATCAGCAGCGTACAATACCATCTCGGGACAAGGGGTACTATATAAATTAATGTGAGAGATTCCATCCAGAAAGATTCTTCTTCTTCTTCAAGTTCCACTCCTATCGGAGATTGGAAATCATTCTGGCAATTATAATTTTATTGGTTACTCGCCTGAATAGTTCAATTGAACTGCATCAAACCATTCACGGAGATTGCGTAGCCACGAGATTTTACGTCTTCCTACGCTTCTTCTACCTTTGATTTTACCCTGCATTATATTCCTTAGTAGTTCGTACTTTTCACCTCTCATGATGTGCCCCAAGTATTCCAATTTCCTTATTTTTATGGAATATAAAACTTCGCATTGTTTTCCTAGTTGTTCGAGAACTTGTTCGTTTGTTTTGCGATCCATCCATGATATTTTTAAAATACGTCGGTAACACCACATTTCGAATGCTTCTAGGTTTTTAATGTTGGATTTTTTAAGTGTCCAAGCTTCAACTCCATACAAAAGGGTAGAGAAAATATAATATCGAAGCATTCTTATCCGGAGCGATATATTGATATCTCGATTGCAAAAAAGTTTTCTCATCCTATTAAAAGTTGACTTCGCAATTTCAATGCGGCATCTTATTTCTTTCGTCTGATCAGTAGTATCTTCTGTGATCCATGCTCCAAGGTATTTGTACGAAGATATTTATTCAATTTCTGTATTATCTAGTACTAGCTTAACTTTGATGTTTTGTGCTTTTGTAAATACCATGAACTTGGTTTTCTTCAAATTGATTTTTAGTCCATAATCGTTGCAATATATATTTAGTTGTTCAGCAAGGTGTTGCAGTTCTTCTAGTGTTCCTGCCAGAAGGACGGTGTCGTCAGCATATCTTATGCTATTAAGTGGCTCACCGTTTATTATAAGGCCCTCACTGATCTCGGCAAGCGCTAATTCTGATATGGCTTCACTGTATAAATTGAATAACAAGGGTGATAATACACCCTTGGCGGGCCCCACGGCGAATCTGGATATTCTTGGTCAGTTCGTTTTCAACTTTCACTTTTGCTGTTTGATTCCAATAGAGGTTACAGATGATTCTAATGTCTCTACTGTCTATGTTTTTATTTAATAAAATTTCGTAAAATAAGTCGATTATGCTGCACTCTGTCAAATGCCTTCTCAAAATCAATGAAACAGGCATATACTTCCTGATTAATATCTAAGCATCTCTGCGAAAGAACACTTACTTGATTAATATGTAAGCATCTCTGCGAAAGAACACTTACTGCAAACAGTGCATCTCGTGTTCTCAGTCCTTTCCTAAATCCCATTTGTGTATTACTTATGCCTTCATCTAATTTCTTATGTATTCTATTGTGAATTACTTTTAAAAACAATTTCAAGACATGACTCATTAAGGCTATGGTGCGATGTTCATTGCACTCCTTTGCATTGGCTTTTTTGGGAAGCAGTATGAATGTTGATTGGAGCCATTCTCTAGGTATTATACCTGTTCTATATATGGTATTGAATAGATCCAAAAGAAGATCAATAGATTTAGTATTCACAATTTTAAGTAATTCGATAGGAACTTCATCAGGCCCGGGAGATTTACCACCTTTAGCTTGTTTCATTGCATATTCAATTTCTTCTCGTATAATGTCAGGCCGAGTATAATCCTTAAATTCTTTTGGTGCTTCTGTTCACTCTTTGTCTTCAAAAAGTTGTGCTATATATTGTGTCCATCTCTGCATTTTTTGGTTTATATCTGTTATAAGTGCACCCCTTTCATCTCCTAGTTGCCTAGTTTGAAGTGTTTTTCTCATTCCTGTTAATTCTCTAATTCTTTTATGCATGTTAAAAAAGTCATATTTTTTCTCAATTTCTTCTAGTTCTTGGCACTGCTCATGTAACATTCTCTCCTTAGCTTCTTTTATTCTCTTTTTTATTAATCGATCAGTTTCATTATATTTAATTGGATTTTTTGTTTTGAATGATTTTCTTTCATTCATTAATAGTAGTATTTCTTCAGTCATCCATTCTTTATGTTTTCTATTCTTTGGTTTTAAGTTTTCATTTGCTGTTTTAATTCTTGCTACTTTTATATTTTCCCATTTCTGATCAATGTTATAGCTACTTTTATTCAGGTCTTGGGTATTACGTAGATTTTCAGTAAGAGTTTTTACAGTTTGTTACTTTGTTTGTGGTTCCCTTAATCTCTTAATATCAATTCTACTTTGTGTGGGTTTTTTTAACCAGTTTTAATTTGGTTCGTAATGTAACTACTATGGGGTTATGGTCTGAACCGATGTCTGCTCCAGGTTAAGTTTTGGCAGACGGTATAGAATTACGAAATCTTTGTATAATAAGGACAAAGTCAATTTGATTTCGGATTATTCTATTTGTTGTATCACCGGGAGATTTCCATGTATACAATCTTCTTTTTGGTAGCTTAAAAAGTGTATTAGCTATTACAAATTCTTCCGTCTGACAAAATTGTATCAAACGGTCACCACGTTCATTTCTATTTCCTAGACCATATTCCCCCACATATCCATCCACTCTTCCCTGGCCAACTTTGGCATTGAAGTCGCCCATTACTATTGTAGTGTGATGTTTCTTCATTGATTTTAAGACTTGTTCCAAACCAGAAAGATTACTAATGTCATTAATGATATGATATGTAACAGAAGTCATCAGACGACTAGTACCTAACTGGCCTTCCGCAAGGATCAGTGTGGGCACCTCTACTTTTTAGCCTTTATATAGCAGACATGCCTAAAACCACATCAAAGAAGTTTGGATGTCCAGGTGACTGGGCGCTTGCTACCAGCCATAAAGAATTGGAGACTACTGAGCAAATAATAACAAATGACGTTCATTTAAAAAGCAGACTGACCAACTACCGATTGAAAATCCATTTTGAAGAGAATCTCCTCAATCACAGTAAACACCCAAAATATCTAGATGTGGCACCACTCTATAGAACGCTAACATTTAAAGAATAACATTCTGCAAGTTATGCAGTACAACATGGGGTGATTCCTCAGTGTCTATAGCACTTTCTGAAACTTGTGTATCCCGTTGTGGAGTACTGTGCACCGGTGTGGGTCAACAGCCCGCACACCAAACGTATTGACGCCCAACTAAACCAAGGTTTACGTATTATATCAGACACACCAACATACTGACTACCAGCACTAAGCCACATAGCCCCCTCACACATCCGCCGTGAACATGTCCTTGTCAGGAAGCCTAGAACAATTACCGCCGATCCGCTCCCACGTTGGTATCAACTGTAGAGACATAAGTAGGCTTCGTTCAAGAAACAATCCTCTAGATTCTGAAAGAAGTCTAATTAAAAGGAACTTCAAGATAACCGACCGTTGGAGAGAAGAATGCACCTGAATGAATCCCGACTGACACCCGGAATATGCCATGTATCACAAGCAAGCCAAAGGGTTTAGACCAACCAAGACGAATCTTGATCACACTGAACAGCAGCACTGCAAACCGCGATTGCAGTGCTGCAAGACAAACTGTTAAATATCTGGTGTAGTAATGCCCAATTAGATCCGTCCGATTTCTAGTTGCGACTAAAGAGTAAATTGAATATATTTGTCAACTAAATGTTTGTAAAAATTAATTAATATTGTTATTTACTCTTTGTAATGTATTCTTTGTTTGTACACACAATTTAACTGTGATGTTAAATATACGCTAAATAAATTAATATAGAGATATAAAAATAGATAACATTGTAGGCCCCCGCTTGAGCCCCTTTTTCATAGACAAAAACTTTTTGAGTGTCATCAAATTGTAAAAATCAAAGTACCTTATTAAGAAATTAGATGTATTTAAAATTATAATTTAGTAACACCTAGGAAAATTTGAGCTGTATGTTTCAAAGTTCTCGCTATTTCCAAATGACATGTAAACAAAAACCTCCTGTTAATTTCATATGGTAGAGCATTAGAAACTTCTTTAGCTTGAATAATAGTGCAGACATAAGAATTTCTGCCATCTTCCGTCTCTTTCTGGATTTACTATCGATAGTGTATACAGCCAGTCAAATAAACACACGCCTGAAACCAAAAATGAATTCGGCATTCGGTGCGAAAAATCTAGATCTGGGTGAATATTTGCCCGTCTTAGTGCTGTGAAGAGGAACATAAAAAGTTTGGTTTAATCGTGTTTTATGAAGAGGTACATGCAGACTAACCTGCTCAAGTAGCTGAGAACACAAGACTGTAGAATTAAGTATTATGCCATAAAGCATCTTTAATTAATCGTCGGTCATCCAATAACAGAATATCAATTGGGTTTCAATTTGATCATAATTTACTTGATTTAATTCAAAAGGTATACCCTGTTATATGCTACATATTTCAAGAACTTAAGTTGAACTGTCTCGATTTTTGACATGTAAATGTTATAAAATGGAGACCATACACAAGAACAATACTTTAGATGAGGTCTAACTAAAGAACAATATAATAATTTATTCGCTTCAATATTCTGAAAGTCTCT